GATGTGCTTAATTATTTCTTGATAAATTTAGTTTGATATTTGACAATTTAATATCACACATATATTTAAGATTGATCAAAGAGAAAAACCCAATTTTAGTTTGTCTGTGGTCTTACCGAGAGTATCTCACCCACACAGCAGAGCCTGGCAAGCTACCCGTGATGTATTCGATATGCCAAACACAGTAACAACAAAAGTCTCCAATGGAGACATTACTGGGCCCGCTCGAGCAAATCGATGAACAACAGGAGGACAATGACAGTGACACTGTGGTCTTATAAAAAAATCACTGTAAATCTGATATTGAGACTACTATTTTAATTACATAAAAATTGCAAGTATATGCCAACAAGTTGAACAACATAGAAAAGTAGATATTTATTCTTGAAAATACACTACTTATAAAACTGAATCAGAAAAATTAGAAAACAGATCATTAGGCAAGAAAGATCAATAGGCAAGAAAGTTGGTCAATTATAAAAAATCTACCAACAAAGGAAAAGCCAGGACCAGTTGTTTTTACTGTGACTTCCACTAAATACTTATGGAATTAGTTCTAATCTTTTTTAAATGCTTCCTCTCAAAATTGAAGATGGTAGCCAGGAAGATAGCTCAGTGGTTAGGAATGCATGTGTTGCATTCACAAGGACCCAGTTTTGAAATCCAACTCTGCCTGGGGAGATGTTAGTCAAAGGGTACAAATATCCAGTTATAAGATGAATAATAATCTGGAAAATTAAGGCACTAAGACATCATTATGGTTAAAGATAATAAAATTGTACCACATACTTAAAATTTGCTAAAACGATAGATCTCAAAATGTTCTCATCAGAAACTAAATGCTTATTATTTATTGTATTGAAGCTATTATCTAACTCCGGTGTAGTCATTATATTGCAATATCTAAGTACCAATCAACCATATTTTATATCTTAACATTAATTATACAATGTCATCTGTCAATAATATACCAATAAAAGTAGAGAAAGGCTATCAACTGAATAATAAATAATAAATACAATTATGTTTAAATGTTTAAAAACATAAAGATAGCACAAAGAAAAAATTATAAACTTCATGTGGCTTATATTATTCTCTTTTCAGTGGTGTGAACTATGATGGAACACTTAATTTCATATGATTTTTAACACATAAAAATGGGACAGTAGGGGCTGGAGCAATAGCACAGTGGGTAGGGCATTTGCCTTGCACGCAGCCAACATGGCCGACACAGGTTCGATTCCCAGCATCCCATATGGTCCCCCCGAGCACCGCCAGGAGCAATTCCTGAGTGCATGAGCCAGGAGTAACCCCTGAGCATCGCCGGGTGTGACCCAAAAAGCAAAAAAAAAAAAAATGGGACAGTAATATTTATCTCAAACTTTATTATGCAGTTAACTACACTAAAAATTGTAAAGAACTTTTAAATAATCTGCCATATAACATAAACTTAATAAATGCTAGTGTCTTATGACATAATAGTTCTTCCTATAAAATTACTTCTTCCTCCTTGTAAAATATACATTCTCAAATACTCAAACACTGTTTAGGTGGATATGAACAGAATATTAGAGTATCCAGTGATATCCTTTGAAACTGAGGACAACTATCTCAGCGATGGTTATTTACCTAGAATGATCTTTACAATAAGTTCTGAAGAACTGCCTGGGAAAAGACAATTATTATACATGGCCTTAGAACTTTCAATAATTTAAAAGATGCACAAGAACAGGTCTTCAGCTAATAAAGGAAGTGCATTAAGAGCTTTAATGAAGTGATTGAATGATACAATGTTTAAGTCATAGAAATTGTATAAAACAACTCTAAAAATTGTGAATTGCCAATAAGCATGTAGAACATGAAAGAGAATTTAATTTTGCAAAACAGTAATTAGAGATGTATAAGAAGTTGTGAATTTGTCTTTCTGGTGGGTCCTCCTCAAACTCTACATTTACAGGGTGAAAAATGGTGCCATCTAAAAATCACATCAGATAAGAGTTCAGACCATAAAGAAGGATGGAAATATTAGGGGAGATCTAGGACATGAGGGACATGTAGGAATTAAACCCAAGTCCTTTGCTGACAGTTAATCTGTGCTTGTTTTTGGTTTTGTTTTTTGTTTGTTTTTGTTTAGTGTGTGTGTCTTAGTAGACTTACAAACTTTTGAGCTTGAGTTTCAGTTATACAATAATCGAGTACCCATCCCTCCACCAGTGCCCATTCTCCATCACCAATGATCCCAGTAGCCCTCCCACTCCCCAACCCTATCCCCCCACCCCACCTCAGTGGCAGGGCTTTTTCTTTTGCTCTCTCTTTCCTTTAGGGTATTGTAGTTTGCAATGCAGGTATTGAATAGCCATCATGTTTGGTCTATAGTCTACTTTCAGCACACATCTCGTATCCCAAGCAAGTCTTCCAAACATCCTTTACTTGGCATTCCCGTCTCTATCTGAGCTGTCTTTTCCCTTGGCAGGTGCTGCCAGCTTCCAAGCCGTGGAGCAGACCTCCTGGTACTTATCTCAACTATTCTTGGGTGTTCGACTCCCATTCTGTTACTTTATATTCCCCAGATGAGTGCAGTCTTTCTATGTCTGTTCCTCTCTTTTCTGGCTCATTTCATTTAGCATGGTACTTTCTATGCAGAACCATTTGTATATAAATTTAAAGACTTTATCTTTTCTAATAGCTGCATAGTATTTCATTGTGTAGATGTACCAAAGTTTCTTTAACCAGTCATCTGTTCTCAGGCACTCGGGTTTTTTACAAATTTTGGTTATTGTGAACAATACAGCAATGAACATACTAGTGCAGATGTCACTTCGACTGTACTTTTTTGCCTCTCCAGGATATATTCCCAGGTGTGGTGTTGCTGTGTCAAATGGAAGCTCAATTTCTAATTTTTTGAGAATTGTCCATACTGTTTTCCAAAAGGGCTGAACCAGTAGGCATTCCTACCAGCAGTGAAGGAGGGTCCCTTTCTCGCCAGATCCGCGCCAACACCTGTTGTTTTTGTTCTTTTAGATATGGGCCAGTCTTTGTGGTCTAAAATGATATCTCATTGTTGTTTTGATCTGCATATCAAGTACCTAGGAATCAGCTCAATTAAGGACGCAAAACCCTGTACAAAGAAAACTACATAATTCTACTTCCAGAAATAAAAGCAGGGGATGGAAAGACATCCCCTGCTCATGGATCGGGAGAATTAATATTGTCAGAATGGCAATACTCCCCAAAGTGTTGTACAAATTCAATGTGATCCCTACATGGATACCCATGACATTCTTCAAAGAAATGGAGCAAACACTCCTGAAATTCATATGGAACAATAAGCCCCCACGAACAGCTAAAACAATTTTCTTGGGAAAAAGAAAATGGGAGGAATCAACCTCCCCAACCTCATACTCTACTACAAAGCAGTAATAATTAAAACAGCGGGTACCAGAACAACGGTAGAGCTACAGACCAATGGAACAGGGTGGAAAACACTGCCATTTCCCCCCAAATATATAATCATCTAATCTTTGATAAGGGGGCAGGAAATGTGAAGTGAAACAAGGAAAGCCTCTTCAACAAATGGTGCTGGCATAACTGGACAGCTACATGCAAAAAAGTGGATTCAGATCTCTACCTAACACCATGTACAAAAGTAAGATCAAAATAGATTAAAGACCTCAACATCAGACTGGAATCCATAAGGACATTGAAGACAAGGTTGGCAAAACCCTCCATGACATTGCAGCTAATGGTATCTTCAAAGAGCACCACTGGCCAAGCAAGTGAAAACAGAGATAGACAAATGGGACTATCTTAAACTAAGAAGCTTCTGCACGTCAAAAGAAACAGTGACCAAAATACAAAGACAGTCTACAGAATGAGAAAGGACATTCGCCCAATATCCATCTGAAAGGGGTTGATATTAAGGATATATTAGTACTGGTTGAACCCCACAAGAAGAAAACATCCAACCCCATCAAAAAATGGGGTGATAAAATGAGCAGAAACTTTCTCAAAGAAGAAATCCGAATGGCAAAAATCACATGAGATAATCTATGCTTGTTGAAACAAGGACCTGGTGTAAAGGGACAAAGAGGCTGCAGAGGAATTCACTTTGAAAGACTGAATCAACTGTAAGTGAAGGGATTTGTGATTTGATGTTCTTGCAACTAAGCACTCCCAAAAATACACAGATATTTTGTGTGTCTCTTTTCTAACTATTCACCATATCCATTTTCCTTAACACAGCATAAGGTAAAAGGTAAAGGCCCTCCCGTTGATCGTCGATTTGCTCGAGCGGGCCCAGTAACGTCTCCATTGGAGACTTTGTTGTTACTGTGTCTGGCATATCGAATACTCTCGGTAGCTTGCCGGGCTCTCCGAGAGGGGCGGAGGAATCGAACTCGCGTCGGCCATGTTGACCGCTTGTAAGGCGAACACCCTACCGCTGTGCTATCGCTCCTATTTTCTTCTAGGAAAGTCAAGATACCTGGTGTTACAGCTCTTCCTTTCAAATACCTCAAACTATTATGCAACCTCTTCTCAATCATTTATTCCCTGTTCTGCTAGAGTTTTAATTCCTATTTCAGACATAGTCATTGAACTCTTAAGAAAGTAATTGCAAATGTGTGTAAACTGCATCAGTTGTTAAGTGTTAGAAATGTTAGAAATCCCTTGTTTGCTATAAAAACCAAACATGCAAAAAGAATTTTAATTTTGTTAAGGTTGAAGCAGAAGTAAACTTACCACAAGGAAGAAGGGATGAAACAATGATGGAGGAAGTGAACACCTGTGTGGGGGATGTGGTGTAGAATAGTTCATGTATGAAACCCTACTAGTAACAGTTTAAACCACAGTGCTCTCCCAGAACCCAAGAGAGGGTAAAGGACACCTGTCTTGCATATAACCCATGAGATTAAACCTTCCTGAGGAGGATGGGTTTAGGAATAAGGGTCACGTAGCTTTAGCAACCCCACCACACTTTTCATCTCACCCATTAAACATACCTTTACGTATGCAATCTCTTTCTGTACAGCATGCCTTTATGAAGACCAGCAGAAGAGGCACAATTAAAACCGCCATGAAAATCCAAATATAATTCCATGAAAACAGTGCATCTGAATTACAGAACCAGAAATTATTTATCAAAAATATGTTTCCACTTAAAGCCCCCATTATCTTGCCTGGGAGAGCTTAGGTGGTATAAGGCATATCTATGAGACAGCTTTTATTTGATTGGGCTGAATCAGATGTCAACTTAAGAGGGGAGCAAAAATGAATTAAAACCTGCTATCCTTTTATTTCTATATATTTACCCCCTTGATAGCACAGTGGTAGGGTATTTGTCTTGCATGCAGCTGGCCCGGCCAAGCCGGGCTCAATTCCTCCACCCCTCTTAGAGAGCCCGGCAAGCTACCGAGAGTATCTTGCCCGCACAGCAAAGCTTGGCAAGCTACCCATGATGTATTCAATATTCCAAACACTGTAACAAGTCTCATGAAGGAGACGTTACTGGGCCCACTCAAGCAAATCGATAAACAACGGGAGGACAGTGACAGTGACTGTGATTTTCCCCCCTTATATGTTCAAGGACAACTGGAAAGAGGCAGGGCTTGCTTATCCCCTCAAAAGTTCAGTCATAGTCCAGGAGCTAAGGTCATTCCTAACTCACACCTTTTGATTTTGCATTTAGCATAAGAGACATTCTGAATTCTCCAATGGATTCTCTGGGTTTAGCACTATTAACTACCCTTAGAAACACACATGTGTTTATAACCTTTATTTCCTATTCATGTTAATAAGCCTTAGCTTTCTAATTTGTATGAACAAGTGTCATTTTGTTTGGGAACCTGATATTTTTCTGTAGTACTGTAGCACTGTCTTTCCACTGTTCATTGATTTACTCAAGCAGGCACCAGTAACATCTCCATTATGAGACTTGTTGTTATTGGTTTTGGCATATCAAATATGCCATGGGGAGCTTGCCAGGTGCTGCTATGTGTGTGGGATGCTCTCAGTAATTGAACCCAGGTTGGCTGTGTGCAAGGCAAATACCCTATCTGCTGTACTATCACTCCAGCTGATGTTTTTCTATGTAGAGAAAAAGGCTGTTTTCTATCACTAGAATATACAGTTCTTATATTCAAGGAAATGTTTTTAGAGGCTGCTAGAGAGCTAGTCAAGAGTTCTTTGCTTTCCAGCCATTGACTTTGAGTCTGTATTTGCACTTCACTGTTCACTGCAGCACTATTCAAAACAGCCAGGATTTGGAAACAACCCAAGTGCCTGAGAACAGAGAACTATATAAAGAAATTATGGCACATCTACACAATGGAACGCTATGAAACCACTGGGAAAAATGAAGTCATTAAATTTGTTTGTACATGAATGAACATAGAGAGTATTATGCTGAGAAAAATGAGTTAGAGGACGAGGGACAGACATAGAATTACTATGCTCATTTGTGGGATTTTTTTTCTGGTTTCTTCTGATTTCATTGAAACTTTTTATTATTGACTTTTCTAGACCCTAGAGAAATGTACTCTGAATTTGGTTCGGGATCGTATTGAATCTATATAATAGCAATGACTCTCAGAAAGAAAAGACACACTACTCTCACCTTGTAGGACAATGCGTGTGATCTCCTCTTGACCAGTCACTGGGTTTCGAAGGGAGCAAGTGACATTTCTATGGGATCTAATAAGAAGAGTCATCTTCACGCTGAACAATTTGTCTTTATCCTGTAAATATGATTCTGATGTAGGTGGAATGATCTGTCCTCTGTCATCTCTCCATTCCATTTGAGGCCGTGGGAACCAACCTTCTGAATTACACTCTAATAAAATGCCTTTGATAGTAGATGGATGCACAAGAATTTGTGTTTCTACATTTGTCGCTGGTTAAAAATAATAAAAAATAAAAAGGCAAAAAAAGTATCCTTAGCTGCAGATAAGGGAAATGATATCTAAATATAAGGTTCTGCTATCCCTACTCTAATTCCCAAAAGCTTGGATATAGCCAAGCACCCTGGGGCTCTGTTTATCTCCACCACTTAAATAAAGGGTAAATAGGATAAGTTACTTACATATATATAAATAGAAAGAGTTACTTACATACAAATCAATAAAATTGTAGCAAATATAAGAGGAGGAAATGTTTGGTTCACTCTTTAATTTACTTTAAATTACTCATTGGCTATTTGCAAAATTTAGAAAACTGAATAAGTTTCTGTGATATAAGATGAAATCAAGATTCCAATCATCAAAGAATTTGTAGATTAATAATTCTTCTTGTATCTTCATTATTAACCACCTATCAGCTGCCACAATAAGCTACAAGTAAACAATCGGTAATAAAAATGAAAAATTTAAGTGAAACTTTAATCTTCATATTCTTTTTGTAGGATGACATTGCTTTGTCCTTTCTCCCTTGCCACGAGGAGCTTAGGTTTATCAGGTTCCACCCATCACAGTGCTCCTGAGCCACTCCCATTCCTTTCTTTATCTGTAACCACTTCTATGCTCTTCACCCCAAACAGTTACTCAGCTTTTTCACCTAATCAGTATCTGTTAGTTTGTAAGGTCAAATCCTTCTAGGACACTGAAATTGTATTGTAAGTTAATATTGTCTTTCTCCTTATGTCTTTTGAATAGTTTAAAGCAATGTCCTTTTCCTATAGATACAGAAAGACCGTTAATATTATGCTTTGTAACTTAGAATTTAATTGGCTTTGAATATTATTCACTCCCGGACATCTGTTTTCTTGATTTAAGCCTCAGTTGCCCTTGGTTCCTAATACCCCAAAAGCAGGGTCTCGACGAAGGACTGAATGGACCCAGGGCAAGCTGTGAGCTACCCTGGCATCGAAATGGACTAGGCCAAATTGCCATGATTCTTAACTGTAAGTTAAGAGCTTGATCATAGACAAATGCTGTCATGATCCAAAAGTAACGATGAGACTAGGACCCTGCTAGCAATAGGAAAGACTATCTGGCCTGAGCACTGTAGTCTGAGATTGAGATGGCCCTAGGAGGGCAATTCTATAAGCTTAAGGTATTTCTTACTGTATCCATACAAAATGATTAATATTATGGATGCTTATATGTTTGTTGGACAAGGAGAGGAGAAACACACCCAGGGGATTCCGTTCTGGGGTGGGTTGTCCTCCTGAGAGAGTATCTGTCCTAGAAGCTGTTTTTCCCGATGGAAAGAAATTTACCCCTATTGATTATGACCACACCTCTGTGTAATTGTTACTCCCAACCCCTCATGTTTTTGGGATTCAACTAGACTGTAAGCGTGGGCTGGGGGATCAGGATCCAGACTCCAGAAGAAGGAGGAGAAAGGGGATTCAGATTCCAGAGCCAGAAGGAGAATGAAGGGGAACTGAAGAGGAGAATGAAATAGCATGGGGGAGGCAGAGGAGAGACAGGAGTGAATGGAGAGAGGATTGGAATAAACTGCAACCAAGACCAACCAGCCTGGCCCTTGTTCCTTCCTTTGCCTGCCCATCACCATCACACCATCAACCTCCCTGGGGTGGAGGAAGCAGCTGGAGACTACCGAACACAGGCAGTGGGAGAGTTAGACCGCTGCAGCTGTCTTTTTGAGTTTGCACACTTTTTATGTAATAGATATTTACATAAAACAGATCTAGCAGTAGATGTCAGTTTGAAGAAAACAATTTTTGAATAGTTCTAAGACATTGCCTAGATTATAGACAAGACTTGCCTAACATGCTGGTAAAGAACAAAAGGACAGAGATTTAAGTTATTCTGGTTTTATCCAATAAAGGTTTTTACAATAATATAAATATTCTGAATATGCACTGTCTGATACAGTAGCTTTATTTCATGTGATACCATTGAGTACCAGAGATGTGGTCAGTGATACTATAGAAATTGTTTTCAAACTTAATTATTAATTGTATTGAAGTATGAATTTGTCAGAGGCGCTGAGACAAGGAACACAAAAGAAATTTATGTCGTGGAGGGCCTAGGTTCTCTCAGACCTGTGACAAAGGTAGAGTCTGGAAATCTCCTTTTATTGATCATGGTACCTCTAAAGGGTGCAATACGATGACATCATCAAAAGCATCAAAAGAAGTTGCAGAAAGAACATGGAGGGAGCAAAACATGTATTGTTTCCTTGTATCTGCAGGCCAGTGCATTTTGGCCTAAGGAAAGAAATACACAACCAAAACAGAAACCTTTCTTAGGCTATTTGGGTTTGCATCCCAAAGTATTTGGGTTTGCATCCCAAAGACAAAATGGGCCAGCACCTGAAATCTACAAACTGGACAAGCATTTGAGATTTGCATCGCAAAGACTAAGCTGGGAAAGGCCAGAATCTACATATCAAAGATCAGGCTGGGCTTCTGTGAGAAAAGGAAACACTGACTCTTTCAGTATACTGAAATTTATGGAATTATTTACTGAAGGCAGTTTAAAGGGGGAAAACGTTCAGCTTCATTCAAACCAGTCAGGACACACTAGAAATCTCACTCATTTTCATGGGTCTCTACATGGGCTCACCTTGATGGCTCAAGCCCCAACACCAATGCAAGTAGCTCTATGTGACTGAGAGACTATTTTGTAACTGACTTACCTCTAGGTAATAAAATTAGTATCATAATGCTCAACAAAATGTTAATACAAATGTGTCTAGAATCCCATACTGTGCTCTCACATTTCTATAGCCCTTCAAGGTACTTAAAGTGCTTTATATTTTCACAATTTCTTGTCTCTCAGATAGGCAGTGTGTGAAGAGCGGATCCAGTGTATTGATGAGTACTGACGGCAGGTTCTTCAGGTATTCGGGTCTGACCTTGTCTGCACCGCTTCTTTACCAGCAAAATGGCGTGTCGGGTTTCAGAAGGGAGAACGTTGGCAACAACATTTCCATCCTGCGGAATTTAGTATGTGGGCAGGTGGAAGTGGCTATCGAAGAGATCCGAGTTGAAGTCATGGATAATCTTCTCCATTGCCCTTCTGGAAGATGTGATAGATCCATCAGGATGTCAGAGGGCAGTCATCGTGGTCTTGCAGTTGGCGAAGGACAAGCAGGTGTTGTGAATGCTTTTCCCAGCTTTAATCGCATGTGCCAGCACTGCTGCTATTCTCTTTTTGAGGTCTTCCTTTATTGCTTCTCTGCACTGCTTTGCGAGCTCAGACTTTTGCATGCAGTTGCCTGAGGCTTGCACCAAGCCACGCTGGCAAATGAGCTCAAGAGTTTTCAAAGACAGGTGTCTTTTTGTGTATATCTCTCTCTCAGTGTTCTTCGCACAATCATGGAGGTGCTGAACCAGTGGATTGTATTCCTCGTCAATGTTGTCAATGACGGAATCTTCCCATGTAGCCGCAATAGTGCCAAAGAGCTCCCAGTTGGTGGTTGTTTTGGGAGTTCTCTTGTTAAACTTTGCAGCCCTTTCTCCCTGCTCTGTGAAGTAGAATTTTGCACGAAAGAGATGGTGGTCGAATCCCATTTGGAATTTTGGGCCAACAGCCATGATCCCAGAGATTCAGAAACAAATCTCAAAACCCAGTGGCTTTTGGCAGAAATGCGTCCGGACCCCACAGTAGATTATTATTGCCAGGCCACCCCAGGGGGGAAAGGGTGTTGTCACTCCGCCTGCTCTCCCTTGGCGACTCGGTGGCTGTCATCCTCCAAAGGCCACTGGACAGTCAGGCTTGGACCCGCAGTGATGAAACTTGTTGGGCCTCACGGGATGGGGGTAGAGCCAGTCCTGTCCTCCCCACCCCAATGAGACCCCAAGTCATTGCCCACAAATGGCCTTTCTGGCTCCTGATCAAGCTGCATAGCAGCCATGATCCCAGAGACTCAGGAGCAAATCTCAGAACCCAGCAGGTTTTAGCAGAAATCCCTCCAAATTTAAGTGCTAAAATTTCGGAATTTCAAAATCGCGCAGCCACTACTGCAGCCACACGACATCATATGTTATTCATAACCAGCAATACAAAACAGATTGTCTACTGTTGCCTTTTTGGCAGAGTGTTGCGGTAAAATCTCAAATAATAATGGTGGGTCTGGTGTCAAAGTGTTGAATGTGATCAATGTAGAGAGAGAGTAATGTGGAAATCATCTGCCGCACAGGTAGGGGGAGGGTGTGAGATGGGGGTATACTGAGGTTGTTGGGGGTGGAGAATGGGCACTGGTGAAGGTGTGGGTGTTTCATTGTATGACTGAGACTTAGACCCAAAAGCTTTGTAACTGCTCTCATGGTGATTCAATAAATAAAATTATAAAAAATGAAAAAAGAAAAGCAAGGTGGAGTTCATGCACAGTTCAATCAGCTAATCAGTGGCTGAATAAATAGCAGTACTCCTACATAAAAAAAAGAATTAGGGTCGCTGTCTTATTTGCCAAGGTGTGAAAAACCAGATGGGCTGGACATGTAATGAGATTTGGTGATGACCGCTAGACTAGAGCCATTACTGACTGGATTCCATGTGACGTCAAAAGATCGCGTGGCCACCTACCTATGAGACGGTCAGACTTCTTTGTCAAGATCCTGAATGATTGGTTTGAGGCTGTTCGTATTCCTAATACGAGCAGACGCCACTGGGCTACACTAGCATGCAACAGGGACTAATGCAGATGTTACTGGTGCCCGCTCAAGCAGGTCAATGAGTAACAGGATGTCAAGTGGTCAAGTGATCTAGCTTACAGTGTCAAAGATCACTGACACATTTTTAAAGGATTTCTTTACAAATATCTGTTGATATTTACATATCAGTAGTATATATAGACATAGAAAAACAGATTTTTCATGCTGATGAAGGCATTAGCACATACCTTCAACTCTTAACTCTGCACTCTTTGTCATTTAAAGATTAAATGTATTCAATTGAACTTGTTAACCAAACCATGTAAGATTGAAATGTTAAGAAACACCTAGAATTATCCTAAATGAATTGAGAATCATAGATGCATATAAAACTCAAGGAACCCATCCTCACCTGTGACCTTCAATTCTGTGATGGCTTCGTCATAGAATTTACCATCTTGGAATAAGCAGTGGTATGGCCCGTCATCATCAACTCTGACACCAAGAATCCTGAGGGTCACTTTACCCTCTCCAATGTCTTCTTTCAAGAGCTCTGTTCGTTCCACATAGTTGGAAATTATTTCTCCATATATGTCTTTGCCATCCTTGTATAAGTGAACAGGTTGTGTATAGCGGTTCTGGAACCAGCGTATCTCCATGTGTTCTGCACTTTGTGGTGGTGAAAGCTGGCAACTGAGCTCAACTTCCTCTCCCAGAGAAACCAAAACATGTTCCTGTAAGGCAGTCACTGTGAACTGTCCTGGGAAGGGATTTCATAATGATTATGTGTGTCTGAGTCAAAACACACAAACACACATGTACACACTTCCATATTTTAGTAAGTTCTAAAAAAACTATGCTGCTACCTTTAAGTAATTCGTATATATGTTACTAATAGACACCGTGTTATTTTATAACATGACTCTTGAGGGGGTAATTTGAGCTTCTAGATTTTCAGAGGACATATGGATTTTTTAATACTTTGCTCAAACTCAAAGAAATGTACACTTGGTGAAGGATGGGTATTGAAACACTGTATGACTGAAACTCAATCATGAACAATTTTGTAACTGTGTGTCCCACTGTGATTCAATTTTAAAACAAAACAAAAACAACAAACCACTTATCACACTAATTTTACCCCTTCAGGTTGGAGAATTTCTCACCAATTATTTCTTAAACTAGTCTTTTTTTCTCTTCACCTCTCTTCTCTTTCTGAAATTCCTATGTTTCTGAGATTGTTTCTCTTGGTATTATAATCAAAATCCCTTAGATTCATTTGTTTCTTCCCCATTCTCTTTTTCTATTGATGCTTTGTTGCTGTAGTTGTTTAGTATATCTTCAAACGCACCAATTCAATACTCAGCTTCATCCATACTACTTCTGAGACTTAATACTGTATTCTCTAGTTCCTTTACATCCATTCCCGCCGCCAAGGGCCTGGGACCCTCTGTGCGCATGCACAGCTAGCTCCACCTCCTAGAAAGCCGGTTTCACCCCTGATCTGCGCGGGACAGGCACGGAGGCCCAGCTCTGGGCAACCAAGCTGAACGGCTCCTATTCCAACCAGGTACAGCCCGCCCCCAAGGGCCTGGGACCCTCTGTGCGCATGCACAGCTAGCTCCACCTCCTAGAAAGCCGGTTACAACCCTGATCTGCGCGGGACGGGCACGGAGGCCCAGCTCTGGGCAACCAAGCTGAACGGCTCCTATTCCAACCAGGTACAGCCCGCCCCCAAGGGCCTGGGACTCCCTGTGCGCATGCACAGCTAGCTCCACCTCCTAGAAAGCCGGTTACAACCCTGATCTGCGTGGGACGGGCACGGAGGCCCAGCTCTGGGCAACCAAGCTGAACGGCTCCTATTCCAACCAGGTACAGCCCGCCCCCAAGGGCCTGGGACCCTCTCTGCGCATGCACAGCTAGCTCCATCGACGTTCCCAACTCCTCGCTCAGTGCCAGGGACTCTTTCCGGAGCCGCGAAATATTTTCACACTACACATGCCATAGGAACCATAAGCTACCTTCTTCGATGGAAACTTCTCTAGTTTACCTCAGTCACTAGAAACACAGTAGCCAATAACTCATAAGCCTATCTTAACTCACACTGCATATCAAGTAGAATAGTAACAGTGAACGTTAAGGACTAAACCACAGTTTTCACAATGGTAAAGCAACGCAAAAGCCCACCAAACTTTCTTATTGAAGAGTCTAGCCCAGATGACACCAACAGTACTGCAGTGTTAGACAACCTCTCTGACAAGGAATTCAGGAGGGAGCTACTTAGGATGCTTAGGGAACTAAAAGAAACAATGGAAAGCAATGCCAATAGAAGAGGATTTGAAGGCAGAAATGAAGAAAATGCAATCAGAAATGTCAGACCTGAAAAATCTCGTAGGCGAATTGAAAACCTCAGTGGAAGGCCTCAGCAGCAGAGTAACAGCTTCAGAGAACAGAATCAGTGAGCTCGAAGATTAAGTTCAGAGACTCTCCAGAAAAGAGCAGAAAATGGAAAAGAGACTCACAATTCGGGAACAGATGGCAAGAGAAGATCGTGATGAAGCCAAGAGGGGTAACATAAGAATTATTGGAGTCCCAGAGGTACAGGACGAAAACCTTGATGAAGAAGAAACTGTCAAAGACATCATTGCTACAACGTTTCCAGAGCTGAAGAAAACTTGTGACCACATTCAGGAGGCCTGAAGGGTACCAGCTAGAAGAAATCCGAATAAAAATACCCCAAGACACATTCTGATCAAAATGACCAAAACCTTAGACAGAGAGAAAATTCTGAAAGCAGCAAGATCGAAGAAAGAAATCTCTTACAAAGGAGCATCCTTAAAATTCACAGCTGATTTTTCTGATGAAACCCTTATGGCCCGAAAACAGTGGTGGACCATAGTGAAAAAACTCAATGAAATAAATGCCTCCCCAAAAATACTTTACCCTGCGAGACTCTCATTCATAATAGAAGGAACAACACACAGTTTCACACACAAACAACAGCTCAGGAACATCATAGACTCAAAACCGTGGTTACAAGAGCAACTAAAGGGGCTACTTTAAGGCAAGAAAGGCCTCTCAAATACACCAAATTTCAACAGAACAATGGGACAAAATCCCGTAACAATAATCTCTCTCAATGTCAATGGGCTAAACGCACCAATTAAAAGACATAGAGTGGCAGGATGGATTAGAAAATTGAACCCAACATTCTGCTGCCTGCAAGAAACACATCTCAATAGTCAAAGCAAACACAGACTCAGAGTCAAAGCCTGGAAACAATCCTACAGGCAAACAGCTCCCATAAAAAAGCTGGGGTAGCCATCCTTATATCAGACCACATCGATTTCAGAGTGAGGAAGGTCATAAGAGACAGTGAAGGCCATTTCTTATTGATCAAAGGATCTGTACAACAGGAAGAACTTACAATAATAAATGTATATGCACCTAATGAGAGACCAGAAAAGTACTTAAAACAACTACTCATAGATTTGGAAAAAGACATCAACAGCAACACAATACTAGTGGGAGACTTCAACACTGCTTTGTCACCTATTGATAGATCAACCAGACTCAAGCTTAGCAAGGACATACTTCAATCGAGGGAAACAATGGAAGAAAGGGACTTAGTAGATATATACAGGACACTTCATCCACAAAAAGCTGAATACACATTCTTCTCAACCGTACATAGAACATTCTCCAAGATAGACCACATGCTGAGCCACAAAACATGCCTCCAAAAAATTAAGAAGATAGAGATTGTATCGACAATCTTCTCAGACCATAATGTGCTGAAATTAGAAGTAAATCACGTACAAAAACAGAAAACTAAATCAAACACCTGGAAATTAAACAGTGCTCTACTGAACAACGAGTGGCTTAGACAGGAAATCAAAGAGGAAATCAAAAGATTCCTAGAAACGAATGAAAATGAGAACACGAGTTACCAAAACTTATGGGACACAGCAAAAGCTGTGTTAAGAGGAAAGTTTATAGCTCTACAAGCCTTCCTCAGGAAAGAGGAGCGAGCACACATAAGTAACCTAACCTCACAGCTTAAGAGCTTGGAGAAGGACCAAAAAAGGAGCACAACCTGAACAGGAGAAAGGAAATAATAAAACTCAGAGCAGAGATTAACGAGATGGAAACCCAGAAAACAATCCGAAAGATCAATGAAACCAAGAGCTGGTTCTTCGAGAAAATTAACAAGATTGATAAGCCTCTAGCAAAACTCAAAAAGAAAGGGAGAGAGAAAACCCTAATAAACCGAATCAGAAATGAAAAGGGGGTCATTACAACAGAAACTACAGAAATTCAAAGGATCTTAGAGCCTTCCCTCTAAGATCAGGGACGAGACAAGGATGCCCACTCTCTCCACTGCTGTTCAATATACTACTGGAAGTACTTGCAATAGCGATTAGGCAAGAAAAAGATATTAAGGGCACTCAGGGAATACTTTGAGAAACTGTATGCCACGGAACATCAAAACCTCGAGGAAATGGATAAATTCCTAGACTCCTACAGACTCCCAAGGCTGAACCAAGAAGACCTGGAATACCTGAACAGACCTATCACCATCAAGGAAATTGAAATGGTAATAAAAAGTCTCCCCAAGCACAAAAGTCCTGGTCCGGATGGATTCACTAGTGAATTCTTCCAAATCTTTAAAGAGGACTTACTCCCAATCCTCTTTAAGCTTTCCACGAAATTGAAATATCAAAAACACTTCCAAACAGTTTCTACGAAGCAAATATCACACTGATTCCAAAAGCACACAGAGATACCACAAAGAAAGAGAATTACAGACCGATATCCCTGATGAACACAGATGCAAAGATCCTCAACAAACTACTAGCAAATAGAATCCAACTACTCATCAAAAAGATCATACACCATGATCAAGTAGGATTCATGCCAGGGATGCAAGGATGGTTCAACATTCGGAAATCAATCAACATAATCCATCATATCAACAAAAGAAAAGATAAAAAGCATATGATTATATCAATAGATGCAGAGAAAGCATTTGACAAGATCCAGCACCCCTTTCTGATGAAAACCCTAGCCAAAATGGGTATAGAGGGGACCTTCCTCAACATAATTAAAGCCATCTACCACAAGCCTACAGCAAGCATCATCCTCAATGGGGAAAAACTGAGAGCCTTCCCTCTAAGATCAGGGACGAGACAAGGATGCCCACTCTCTCCACTGCTGTTCAATATAGTACTGGAAGTACTTGCAATAGCGATTAGGCAAGAAAAAGATATTAAGGGCATTCAGGTAGGAAAGGAAGAAATCAAGCTCTCACTATTCGCAGATGATATGATACTCTACTTAGAGAACCCAATAACCTCCACCAAAAAACTCCTAGAAACAATAGAGTCGTATAGTAAAGTGGCAGGCTATAAAATCAATACCCAAAAGTCCATGGCTTTCCTATATGCAAACAATGAGAGAGAAGAAAGCAACATGAAAAAAACAATCCCGTTCACAATTGTGCCCCAGAAAATCAAGTACTTAGGAATCAGCTTAACTAAGGAAGTAAAGGACCTGTACAAAGAAAACTACAAAACGCTACTTCAGGAAATAAAAGAGGACATGAGGAAATGGAAAGATATCCCCTGCTCATGGGTCGGGAGACTTAACATTGTCAAAATGGCAATACTACCGAAAGCATTGTATAAATTCAATGCAATCCCTATAAGGATACCCACGACATTCTTCAAAGAAATGGAGCAAACACTCCTGAAATTTATATGGAACAATAAGCCCCCACGAATAGCTAAAGCAATTCTTGGGAAAAAGAAAATGGGAGGAATCAACCTTCCAAACTTCAAACTGTACGACAAAGCAGTAATAATTAAAACAGCATGGTACTGGAACAAAGGCAGAACTGCAGACCAATGGAACAGGGTTGAATATACTGACATCTCCCCTCAATCATATGATCATCTAATCTTTGATAAAGGTGCAAGTAATGTGAAGTGGAGTAAGGAAAGCCTCTTTAACAAATTGTGCTGGCATCACTGGACGGGTACATGCAAAAAAATGGGCTCAGAACTCTGCCTAACACCGTGTACAAAAGTAAGATCAAAATGGATTAAAGACCTCAACATCAGACCAGAAACCATAAGGTACATTGAAGACAAAGTTGGCAAAACCCTCCATGACATTGAAGCTAATGGTATCTTCAAAGATGCCACGCCACTGTCTGAGCAAGTGAAAACAGAAATAGATAAATGGGACTATCTTAAACTAAGAAGCTTCTGCACCTCCAAAGAAACAGTGACCAAAATACAAAGACAGTCTACAGAATGGGAAAGGATATTCGCCGAATACACATCTGACAAGGGGTTGATATCCAGGATATACAAAATACTGGTTAAACTCCACAGGAAGAAAACATCCAACCCCATCCAAAAATGGGGCAATGAAATGAACAGAAACTTTCTCAAAGAAGAAATCCGAATGGCAAAAAAGCACATGAGAAAATGCTCTACATCATTAATCATCAGGGAGATGCAGATCAAAACCACAATGAGATACCATCTCACACCTCAGAGACTGGCCCACATTCAAAGGAACAAAAGCAACCGATGCTGGCGCGGATGTGGCGAGAAAGGGACACTCCTTCACTGTTGGTGGAAATGTCGACTGGTTCAGCCCTTCTGGAAAACAGTATGGACGATTCTCAAAAAATTAGAAATTGAGCTCCCATTTGACCCAGCAATACCACTCCTGGGAATATATCCCAGAGAGGCAAAAATGTATAGTCGAAGTGACATCTGCACTTGTTTGTTCATTGCAGCACTCTTTACAATAGCCAGAAACTGAAAAAAACCTGAATGCCCAAGAACAGATGACTGGTTAAAGAAACTTTGGTACATCTACACAATGGCGTACTATGTAGCTGTTAGAAAAGATGAAGTCATGAAATTTACATACAAGTGGTACAACATGGAAAGTATCATGCTAAGAGAAATGAGTCAGAAAGAGAGGGATAGACATAGAAAGATTGCATTCATCTGGGGGATATAAAGTAACAAAATATGAGATTAATACCCAAGAATAGCTGAGATCAGCACCAGGAGGATTACTCCATAGCTTAGTGGCCATTCGGGCATTCTAGAGGAAAGGGCAGCTCAGATAGAGAAGGGAACACCAAATAAAGGGTGTTTGGAGGATCCTCCCAGGAGGGGAGATGCATGTCGAAAGTGGACTATGGACTGAACATGTTTGCCACTCAATGCCTCTTTTGCAGACCACAACACCCAAAAGGAGAGAGAGAACACAGGGGATTGCCCTGCCACAGAGGCAGGAGGTGGGTGGGGGGATGGGGGTGGGGGGGATATTATCCATGGTGGTGGAAAATGGGCACTGGTGGAGGGATGGGTATCTGATCATTGTATAATCAAACCCAAGCACAAAAAATTGTAAATCTACAACTGTACCTCATGGTGTTTCACTAATAAAAAAAAAAAGCAATGAAATCCATTGAATTTATTTATATAATATTTGTTCAAAACCAAAGAACTATACAATAGAAAGAGTTATATTATAATGAATACATATTATATTGTATATAATTACATTATATAATGTAAACTTGAAATATATTTAATAATAATCTATCAAATCATAGAGATGGATTATAAAAAACCCTCCCTCAAATGTTTTTTATTGTAATAATTCTCCATAAAAATGCAATATATTAATGATAAATGATGAGTAAACAGCGGAACAAGTGGTAATGAGGTTATATGGAAATTTTGTATACTTTGTGAATAATTTTTCTGTAAACCTACAACTGTTCTACAAAATAGAGTGAAGTAAAACTTAAAAAGTCAATTATGAGGACAAAATATATAATTAGAGTAATATTTTATTGTCTATTAAATTATATAAAATTAAATTTTAAAACAAAACAAATAAAATATAATAAGCAAGTCAATGGATTTAATTTATTATAAATTGGGAAGAATTATGTGGAATAAGTACAACAGATAAAAATTTAATTCCTAATATTTTAGTGTTCTTAAAAAACAATGAGAGATGGTGCTAGAGTGAGAGTATAGAGAAGAGAATGTTTGCCTTGCATTAGACCAACCCAGATTAAATCCCAGCATCCCATATGGTTCCCCGAGAACCAACAGGAGTAATTCCTGAGTGCACAGCCAGGAACTCCTGAGTGTCACTGGTGTACACTCTCCTAAAGAAAACCAAAACAAATAGATTTTTTAAAAAATGAGGGAAAGACAAATAGTGCAAAGAGTCACGGTCACGGTCCTCCCGTTGTTCATCGACTTGCTCGAGCAGGCCCAGTAACATCTCCATCATGAGACTTGTCGTTACTGTGTTTGACATATCAAACATGTCACGGATAGCTTGCCAGGCTCTGCCGTGCGGGTGAGATACTCTCTCTGGGTAGCTTGCCGGGCTCTCTGAGAGGGGTGGAGGAATCGAACTCGGGTCGGCTATGTTGGCCGCTTGTAAGTCAAACGACCTACCGCTGTGCTGGACTAAATATAATCAAACCCAAAGTGGAGGAGCACTGACATTGATAATAGGAGTTGTGAAGTAGCATCGCAAGTATTAAACAATATGGAAGCTGTCCTAAACCGTGTTATCTAAACAACCCAGGCACTTAAAATTCAAAATATTAAAGAGAAATTGACACTGGTGGTGAGATTGGTGCTGGAACATTGTCTGTGTAAATGCAATTATGAATTCATGGAGCTTTGTCACTGTCACTGTCACTGTCCTCCCTTTGTTCATCGATTTTCCCAGTAACATCTCCATTTTGAGACTTGTTGTTACTGTGTTTGGCATATTGAATACGTCACAGGTAGCTTGCCAAGCTTTGCTGTGAGGGCAAGATACTCTCAGTAGCTCGCCGGGCTCTCTGAGAGAGGCGGAGTAATCAAACCTGGCTCGGCTCGGCTGGCTGCACACAAAGCAAACGCTCTACCGTTGTGCTATAGCTCTAACCCTAACAGCAGATTAAATTTTATAATTTGTAACTAAGACCTGTAATAATCAACAAAAATGAATCACCTGACAATTATATATACTTTTGTTGGAGATGTAGATTGGAACCTGTCTTTAGAAGATATTGTTTTTCAACATTACCATAAAATAGCACGTAACTTTTGGGTTCCACTGGTAGTAACACTTTCTATTCATGTTCTCATGGGCATGTTCACATCATATCGACAAGGATGTTGGTGGAGCATTAGCTGAAGATTGTATACCACTTGAGATTTCTCCTATTTAACAAGTAATTTTTGCTAGAAATTTTGTAATCTCATGTGCCATTTGTCGTCTCTAATTTTTCATTTGTGTTTATAAATATTTCTGTTTATAAATATGTATTTCTGTTTTCCATAGATACTCTTCTTAGTACAAATTCTTATCACTTCTCTAAACTCCACCTGTCTACTCCATCTTTTTAATCTGATGCCTTCATTATATAAATTTCAAAATAAGTCCTGGATTACTTTCTCATTTACTGACTTATAAATTAAATTATGACTCACTCATCTAAATATTGGGATCTCAAGCGAAAATAGTACATCTTTTCTATATTAGTTACTTTCCCCTTCAGTCTAAGAGAAATGTTTGTACATAATAAAAGATTAAAATTTGCTTATTAAAGATAATAAATATTCCCATTCTCAATATGTATCCTACATGTGATTTCCCAATCATAAGATGTACATCATATCCTCAATAAATGACTGCTTATTAAACCTAGGAGAAAATGATCATGAAGCTTATTCCTTTTGTTTATTCTTCCCTATTTTTGCATAATTGATATTACCATGGAATAAGATAGGTTCATACCTGAACTTGGAGTGATCATCTGAAGAAGAATCATGATATAAAAGAAGATGATGAAAGATAGTTCTGTCACTTTCATTATGCCTGTGATAAGAAGTAAGATAAGTTAAGAAAAAATGATAGCATACTTTTTTTGTAGTTGAAGAAATCACATAGTTCCATATATTTTTACTGTGTACTGTACTCTGGAATAATTTTAAACTATTCCCAATTATATTTTAATATAAGAAAACAATGTATATTTTTAGGATGCACATTTCCCATGTAATACTTGGCAAACTATAATATTTACTAGCAAATACGACAATCCTACTCCACAGACTATCTCATAAAATGTCCAAGAGACACTATTGAAGGATCGCTTCCTTCCTAGTTACATGTCACTTATTTTCTGGTTTTAAATGCTGTCAGGTGTGCTCTTTTCTTAAAGAAAGTGTACCAATCATGCTGCCTAAGAAATAGGTTCCATTCACCAAAGTCTATGCTCATCCAGTTTGTTACAAGGAGTAGAGAAGGAAAGAAAAGAAGGAAGGAAGGATGGAAGGAAGAAAGGAAGGAAGAAAGGAAGGAAGGAAGGAAGGAAGGAAGGAAGGAAGGAAGGAAGGAAGGCAGGCAGGCAGGCAGGCAGGCAGGCAGGCAGGCAGGCAGGCCATAACAGGTGCTCAAGAAATGTTATCTCTGAATATTAAAGAGAACTTTTAATTGTGTTATACGTATTTGAAATATGATTCTGCAAATCATGGATGAGCTAGAAATAGGAAAATCAGTAACAAAAACGTTAGACCAGGTGTGTTCTATTGTGTAAGGAGTGAATGATCAGAATTTAAAAAAAAAAAAGATACAGCAATTATACTATTGAAAGGATTCAATGAGTCTATTAATGCAGAAAATGAGAGATTCATTGTTTCCCTAGATTTCCAGAATGTGTATTATGTGGCTAAATAGCATAATTTATCACAATGGTAATTGGATTTTTTTGCTTGTTTGTTTCATTGTGCTAGGGATCAAATCCAGGGCCTTATCGACACAATGCAAGGGCTCCCCTATAGGGCTACCTTTCCAACCAATTGCCAAGAATATGAAGAAAGAAGAAACTCAGCATTGAATAGATACAATTTTAGGTTTTGCACGACTATTATATATACCCCATACTGTTTCAGTTGTTAAAGTACACCACTTCTCCATCAGCTCCACCAGGATTGATTTTTTTTTGTCTTCATGTACAAGAGTGGACTGGAGCGATAGCAGCAGGTAGGGTGTTTGCCTTGCACGCGGTCAACCCAGGTTCAATTCCCCCACCCCTCTCCGAGATCTTGGCAAGCTACTGAGAGTATCTTGCCGACACAGCAAGCTGTGTCTTGCCAGACAAGCTACCCATGACGTATTCGATATGCCAAAAACAGTAACAACAAGTCTCACAATTTGTGAGACTTGTGAGATGTTACTGATGCCCGCTCAAACAAATCAATGAACAACAGGAGGACAATGCTACAATGCTATGTACAAGAATATCTTCTCAGGGCTGAAGAGAGTACAGCAGGTAAGGCACTTGCCTTGCACACAGTCAATCCAGGTTGAGTCCCTGGCATCCCACGTGGTCCCCTGAGCAACCCCAGGAGTGATTTTTGAGTGCAGAACCAGAAGTAACCCCTGACCACACACACACACACACAAACAACACACACAAAAACCACATGAGAGAGAGTTAGAGAGAGAGAGAGGATATCTTCTTGTCCATAAGTGGTATGGAGTCCAGTTTTATCTAGCACAGACTAGATGAATCAGATACTTTCTCTTGGCTTTTCAAGAGTCAATCTCCATTCCTCTCTGCCCTACTGAGGTTCTCAGGAAGTTGACCTATAAATACTCTAGCAGTTTATTCCCTTTCTTCTGGCTTCTTTTCAGATTTATCAGGATGAATAATAAGCAGGAGGTAGCAGGCACGAAAGAAGCAAGGTTGAACTATTGCTTCTCTCATATGCTTTCTCTCTGGGTCATTGGGTGAGTGATGTGTATGCCTGACCAGAACTATCTATCTTTATATTTAAAGCATTTCATTTATCCACCTCCAGTCCTACAGGTGGTCACAGTTCTTTGACTTTCGTTCAGGAACTATACTTCTTTGTACTTCTATATATCATTATGACACATTAATCAATATCTATTTGCTGCTCTTCAAATTTGAGTGTTTCTTTGTTTGAATCTGGCTAATATAGGAATCAGCATTAAAAGTAGATGCCAGAATGAAATCATCAAGTTATGATTCAAAAAATGACTTTCTTGGTTATTACTTAAAAGTGGTCAAGAAATATTTTGTAATTTTGTTTTATTTAGAAGAGGCATATCTGGCAGGTGAGTTCACAAGTCCCTCCCCTGCTACTCAGAGAACTATACATGGTGCCAGGGATTTTAACCTGGGTTATCAAGAAGCAAAGCAAGCATCCTTGGATGCTTGTAAACCCTATATGATTTTGAAATACTTTTCTTTCTCTGACTGTCCTAGAAGATGAACATGGTCAAAGGATAAAATTAAAAGCTATATAATATATGAAGAACCAAGAGGTTCTGTTGAAGCTCTGGGTGACTATTTTAACTCTCAGGACTTAAGAGATATGGATTGAGACTGAGACCCTGGTCAATTTTAAGGGTCATAGACTTTTAGCAACACTCAAATGCTCTACTCCACAGTTTCTTGAGTTAAGTGGATTCTGGCATTTGGACCAGAGTTACCTAGATAAATGTGGACAATAAAAGTATGCAGGGGATCAAAAATATAGACTAACTTGTAGTCAAGACAATTTGATCTCAACTCAGTGTTCCGTCTTATTTTCAAGGCCTTGGGAGGTTAACTTGAAACTTTCATCATAATACATATTATTGTAGTCACTCTTATGACTTGATCTGACATATTAAGGATACTTCTTCATGAGCAAATATATGTATGTATACATACATATATATATATGTCTTTCTCATCCCCATGGCTCCCTAAACAATATCACTTCTGAGTAGACAATATATTTTAGAACAAAGAAGTGCTATAAAGTAGACTCTAGGCAATGGACTTCACTTCTCTTGTCTAGTGCTCATGACCCAGATACATTTAACTTGGCAATCGAACACCAGAAAGAAGTTAAAACTTTGTGCTTTGGGGTTTCTGTGCCTTATGACATGTAGAAATCAGATTGGAAAGCAAAAGCTAAATGTGAGATCCTCTCATTGTGTAGCTTTGCAATCTGCCTGAAGAATTTTTTGCTTTCCTTCTCATAATCTTTACCTCAATGTGCTCGGGTTCCTAGGTTCTTATGGAGTCTGGCATATAACTACTTGGAATATGAGACCATCTACTGGTCCTTTGGGATTTCTTTCATCACTGATACAAGAATTGTAAAAGTGAGTCAGTGGAGAACTAGGTAGACAGCAAAGTTCAAGAGAAGTAGCTGGATCAATAACCTCAGTCAATAGAAAAGTAAAGTAATTCAAATAAAGGTAAAACAACCAAAGTTTCAGGTTCATAGGAATTAATATTTGAAGAACCCCATCAAGTTAAGAACCTCGAGCAGTTGAGGTGTTCACTTAAAAGCAGAGAACACAGAATAAGTAGTGCAATAAGGCACCTACGATGATCTTATCTAGAGACAGGTGAACACTTAGGTCTACATCAATATTGCTTTACGTTTATGATTTTTCAACAAATTTTCCCCAGGAATCTTAGATAAAAACATAGAAGATGTTCTTTCAGTTTCCAAGTGGAAAAATGTGGCCAAATCAACAATATAAATCAGAGGGTGATAGCTTAAAAGTTGTGTCTTTCATGAGGATATAATTATTTATCCAGCTAAAGAACAAATTATATCATGGATAAAACTTTTATTGAGAGGAAAAGATTTTAGACAGTACTGGAAAGTCCTTCTGGTTGCCTACATAAACTTTACATTGGTTTCAAAGAATTTCTAAGAAAAATGGAATGTGGGTCTAAATCGGCGCAAATGAGCTAAGGTGCTTGCCTTGAATGCAACCAAAACCAGTTTGATTCCCAGCACTGTACATGGTTCCATAAGTACCATCATGAATGAGTAGCCATGAGTAATCCATGAAAATCATTGAATGTTGCCCCAAAATGAAGGAGGAAAAAGAAAAAAAGAATGAAAGAAGAAACAAATGAAAGAACGAGAGAATGAGACAATAAGGAAGAATGGAAGGAAGGAAGGAAGGAAGGAAGGAAGGAAGGAAGGAAGGAAGGAAGGAAGGAAGACTGCAAGCAAGCTGGAATGAAAACCAATATAGATACTGTGCATGGAGATAAGAGGTGTGTTTTATATAGAAAAAGTATTGTAAAGAAAAATCTACAAATTAATTTTCACTCAAAAGAACGCCAATCAAGTACATCCCACAGTATACCTCAAGTTTAAAACATAATTGAGCAATGACTGTTGTATTTAGTGGGTATAGTTTTAGTCTGGAAAGTAAAAACCTTTTATTTCCTGTTGTTCTATAAATTTTTAGACTATAGGTTAACCATTAAGTTTTTGTTTTAAAAGTCACACACATCCTTTTGTAGTTTATTCTTATGTATTTGATAATTTTGTACACTATTTTAAATGAGGTTATCTTTTAAATTCTTTTCTTCTTAATTGAATCATAGTGAGATAAAGAGCTGCAAAATTGTTCATTATTGGGTTTCAGTCATACAATATTCCAACACCCATATCCTCACCAGTGTACATTGCCCATTACCATTGTCCCCAGTTCCTCTCCTACCCCAGCCTGCCTTAATGGCAGATACTTCTCTCTCTCTCTCTCTCTCTCTTGCTCTTTTTCTCTCTCTCTCTCTTACTCTCACTCTCTCTCACTCACTCACATGCTCTTGCTCTCTTAAATTCTGTACCTTATTATTCATCATTTACATTAAAAACTTTAAGATTTTTGTGTGTATTGATTTTGCATCCCATTACTTTGCTATATCACGATCATGACCATCCTGTTGTTTGTTGATTGCCTCGAGCAGGCCCCAATAAAGTCTCCTTCGTCCCAGCTCTGAGATTTTTGAAAATGTGCCATATTCAAGACTCTTTCAGGGTTAG